TATTATTTGAATTCTCTAAAAACTGGGTTGAAATAAACAAAATATAATGTAATCTATTTCATTTCATTTAGTGTTTTATTTTTTAATTTTGTGATAAATATAAAAAATAAATTAATATATTATTTATAAAAAATTATTCCTTTCAATCTTTTTTATAAGAAATAAAATGGAACATTTTTTTAATCTTTATTATAAAAATAAATGATAAATTCAAGATGCATTAATTACTAAATTTTTTTATATCTTTTTTTATTAGTATCATTAAATATATAAATTACTAATTATATCATTTAACATAATAGATATTTTTAAAATAAAATATATATTTATAAAAAACATAACATACTTAATTATTTTTTTTAGTTCTAATAATTTAGTTTTTTATTTTTTATAAAAAGAATCGGAGGAAATATTGTATCATTTCATCTTGTATAATAAAATACTATTATTTTATATAAAAAATATAGTAAATATTAAATTTATAAGCTAATATTATAAAATACACATTCATTTACTGTACATTAATTAAAATTAGTAAATTTTATTGAAGATATAACATTTATTATAAAATTATATTTTTATATCGAACATTTTCTTTTTAATAATAAATTGTTTATGAATTTCTTAAAATGATTCTAAAGATTAAGATTTATTATTATCATTATTATAAAAGGTCTTAAACGGAAGTTATGCTAATTATGAAATTGCCACCCATTTTCCTAACCTGATAAAAAGAAAGGGAAGGCTATATTGACTCTAATTCCTCTTACCTATTTTCCTTCGGTTCACATGCACCTATCACCCCTAATTACTGATATAATAAAATATATTTTAATCTATAATTTATTTTTATTTTGAATATTTTAAAAGTCTCATTTTGGTTTAATAATTTTATTTTTAAAATTTTAATTCCTCCTCTAATTTCATCTCATAAAGGTTTTAGTCTTTATAATTAATTAGAAATGTTTGGGATTTGATGGGTGTCTTTTGAAACATGCATGTAAGGTATACTATTTGTATTTATAATTTAAACATAATAGTATAACATTCGAAGTATAAAAATTAAAACCTAAACTAAGACAATTTATTAGAAAAAAATAATTTTAAATTTAACTTATTACTCTTCTGTCTCTATTAATTGTTATCAGCATTCCTTTTCAATTAACATTAAATTTTATTCCAAATAAAGCAAGATCAACCTCTTGCTTCCCTGCACGCTCATTGCCTTACAGTTTCTCTCTTTTCCGCTTGCTACATAATTTGTATATTGATTATTAATTGAACTATTCAAGTTTAAAGTGTGTAGACAAGTAAAATGTGCAATATAATTGGATATGAAAACGAAATGCGATCTTGTTGACAGGTAAAGGAAGAGTGATGTATGTCTGGATCAAATATGAAAGGAAAGTAGTTGGTTTAATCACATCAATGATGTATATTTATTGTTATTTTGTGGATCAATAATGTTATATTTAATGTGCACACTTACATTTTGATTACATACATTTTGCTGTTAATAAGATGTTATTTTATACTAAGAAAGAATTATTATTCATATATTACTTTTTATAATTGATTTTTTATTATATTAATTATTTTATGTCACATTTTAGTTTTTTTTCTATAAAAATTATATAAATATAAATTTCTTAAGAATATAATGACACTTAGATAAAATGAAAATGTTTATACAAGAACTTTCAACGAATATTTTTCATGTATTATTAAGACTTATAAATTTTTTGAGCTATTTTTATTTTATAATTATTTTAATTTATGAAACATTGTATATGATAAAAAATAATAAAAGATACTTTTATTAAAAATATAATATTTATTAAAATCGATACATTAAATTATATTATATTTTATAATTTTTAATTAAAATTAACTATATATAATTTTTATTTTTACGTAATGATGCATAAATTAAAAAATTATTATTTTTATCAATTCGGTTATGTTTTTTCTTTTTATATTTTATGTACCATTAAAATAAATTTTAAACAATAATATACTTATTTAATTTAAAATTTATCTAAATTATACATGAAATAACATTAAATATGTATGAATTTTGTCTGAAAATGCATGTAAAATTATAATTTTGTAAAAAATTTGTCCCAAAAATACAAATAAATTAACATAATTTTCATTTTGAATATTTTTAAAATAAAATATATAATTTTTACACTTAAAATAAATTTTATTCTTTAAAAAGTTTAAGTTTTCTCATTTAATATTTTATTTTAAATTTATTCTAAATACGTTTCCAATTTTTTTTTTATATAACACATTTCATTTATGTGATATTTCAGTTAAATTATATGAATGAACTAAGATGTTATGTAAGAAATAATGAATAAAATAATATGTTACTAATGTAAGGATTAAATAGGAAATGAAAAATATTTTTGAAAGACTAAATTAAACAAAACGATCAAATGAAATAAATTATTGAAAAATTAAAACCTTATTCAAATATTAATTTTATCTTCATTCAAATTTTTGTGATTATGTTTATAAAAATGGCAAGTTTAAGAGCTTTTTTTTAAAATCAGTATATAAAATAAAAAATTGAAATTATTAAATACATAAATAATTAAAAAAAGAGATAAACTTAAAATAAAATAAGAGGGAAAATGAAATAATTTTTTTATCTTCAAAGTATCAAGAATTATTTCAAAATTAATTTATTATAAATTCAGTAAAAACTTAAGCACATATATTAGTGATAATTAAAATATAAAATATATTTATGTTTTCATCATTTTCTATTTAATTCTTTCAAAATTAAGCTTAAAAAATAGTTTTATTCTATCTTATTAATATATTGTTCATGTTATTAAATTTTTATTATTTTTCTGCCAAAATTTTAAAATGGACATTTTGAAAATATGAACTATAAATTATTTCTTTCTTTATTTCTTTTGTGATATTCTAATGTTATAAGTTTTATCACTTAATTATTTAACAATTTTTAAGTTTTTGTTATAGTAGATGGTTTTTATTGTAATGCATTTATAAAATAGAAGAAATCTATGGTATGAAACAAAATATACAATAAGGGTATTTTTTATTTTGTATAAAATAAAGGTTCAGATTTGTGAGTAGTATATTTGTAAAATAAGAGAGAATTTGTGTAAGCTTGAGAAATAGAGTGAGTTTTGTATAAAAATTGTAAAATGGTAAAATATAACAGTGTTTTTGAGAACATAACTCAGAAAAGCAATTTAAAATGCTTGAGAAAAATATATAGCAAACAATTACTTCCGTATGGGTAAGAGAATGGTTTAATATGCATTAGATGTGAACTAAAAAGCAGTTTAAAAGAGTATTAATTTTCCATTAATGTTGTTTAAAAAAACACTTGGCCTTTAACTATGCTTAAAAAAAGGTGTGGGGAAGTGGCCGGCTAAGAAGAACATGGTCCAAACCTGACAAGCCACCTCACCACCTTCTCCAAATAGAATTCAATATAAATAAATAAATACAAAGTTGAAGCTTCCACGGCCAACAGAGCCCAGGCAACCCCTGCTATATGTTTAAAGTTTGTATGATATTCCTGTTCAGTTCAATAATTAACCTTCAACTTCTCTCAAATCAAAATGGTTTCATTTTGAATCACAGAGGAACATGTTTCAACAAAAACCGCCTGAGAGAAAAGGATACCCGACAATCTCTTCTGCAAATTAGAGAGAGAAGAGATTCTCCGTTTTCAGTTTCTGAACACTCCCCAACATCATCATGCGCACTTTGACCACTTACAACATTGTTACCGCTACATCCTACAATATCATGCCTCTCTATACAAAAATTAATACCCCCTCTGTTTTTTATAAAGTATATTTAATTAAATTATACAAGTTCAAAATATTTTTATTTATGTAATCCCATACTTAAAATTGATATTAACCTTGGATTCCTATTAGATAATTTAAAAATACAGACTCAATGATTAGAAAATATATCTAAAAAATGAATAACAGCTCATATATTTATATTACGAATCTGTTACTCTACAGAATTACAGATATTATTCTTACAAATAAAAAGGAGTAAAAGAACTGTTACGAATTCACGGGTCTACACAGAATTTATGATAAAAATGGGGCAGTGCTGTAAAGTACAAGCTTGCAGTGGCTGAGACAAACATACGCGTAACTCACTCGTATGCATCAAACGTAGAGTAGAAAAGATCACCTTTTAGACCACGCGGTTCTGAAAAGCGTTGGTAGCAGCCAAGTCCAATTAAGGCAGCTAACAGCCGCTACCAGTTGGCTCCCAAGTCTATAATTTTTCTTTCACCTAAACCTAATGTGGCCACTTCCTACCTTAAAATCTTACTCTTTAAAACAAATATTAAACTAATTTAAATGTGACAGTATAACAGTAGAAATCTGAGATCTTCTATAAATTAATCCACGGGTTAGTGACTTGAACATTCTTGTTAGTTAGTTACTATGCCGCATTATAATATTTCATTATTTTTGCTTATTAGATTCGATCCGTCTTAGTTAGTGTGGACTATGGAAGAGCCTAATGGATAGAGGGATTTCAGACTTGACAAATTGAGATTCCTTTCTTCTATCAATTCATGCACACTAATATTTGAATTCCTCCTTCCTTTTGCTTTTTTCACCCATCTTGGACTGTCTTGTCTACCAAGTCCACGCCTCCTTAAATAAACACAAGAAATAATATTCTAATTGATATATTTATAAAATTGTTACTTAATCCCGATACCCCATCTCGCTCTTGCACACAATAATTTAATTTATTTTAATAAAAAAAATAATAATCCTAACCCTCTTTCCTTCTCCTCATTCTCTCCCCTCCCCTCCCTTATAATGTCATGTATATATAGATGATATACGATGCCACCTTTCTCCAACCAAAAATCTATATCTCCCTCAAGAACTATATATAAGTTCTATTCTATAACCCGTTCTTGTATTGATCAGAATATATATACACATATATTTCTTCAATATATAGAAATGGTTGCCCCTTGTCCAACTTCCATGATGATAGGAACAAAGAAAACAAAGGGTATGGGAATTCCAACAATCGACCTGTCAATGGAAAGGTCAAAGTTATCGGAACTAGTGGTGAAAGCCTGCGAGGAATATGGTTTCTTCAAGGTGGTGAACCACAGTGTGGCAAAAGAGGTCATTTCAAGGTTGGAAGAAGAGGGAACAGAGTTTTTCTCCAAAACCTCTTCAGAGAAACGCCGAGCTGGCCCTGCCAACCCTTTTGGCTATGGTTGCAAAAACATTGGTCCCAATGGAGATATGGGTGACCTTGAATATCTCCTCCTTCATACCAATCCTCTTTCCATCTCTGAGAGATCCAAAACCATAGCAAACGACGACCCTACTAAGTTCAGGTATTCATTCATATATTGCTTATAGTACTCTTCCATTTTCATTCTTTCCCCAACAACTTCAACCCAACCGATTCCATATTTGTGTTACCACTTTCATATCATAACAAGTGGTAAAAATAGTAACACTGTAATATATAATAAAATTAATGACACAGATTGTGAAGCTTTTACTATTAGAATATAATAATTACCGCATAACGGCAAGTATGAGAGAGAGAGGGGTTCCGTGGGGATGTAGGATAGGGAACAAGCTCTTATCTGTTTGTGTTTCTGAAGTGCCAAGCAGGCTTGTGGGGCTTGCTGAGTCTGTAACTCTCACGAGTTTGACATAACTTTGATTTTCCATTTTTTGGTTATATATTCATTGCTTTATTTCCATATTGCGATAACATCTCAGAGGGTTGGTTTAAAGTAAACAAAAACTAAATGATTGAGTTAATATAAACACGATAATTTATTATAATAATTTTTTCCTAATTCAATGGTGGATAATAAGATTATTTAGGAACTTAGTACAGCATTATTGATTGATGCTTGTATCCTAGACAGGGACATCTGTCCTTTACATTCGAAAATATGTATGCTACATAAGTTTACAATTTGTTTGATATTTAATAGTTTAACAAGCTTAATTTTGCCTCGCCTTACCATGTTCGAATCAATGTACATATAACTTTTTTTCTTTCTATTTTTGTGGTTGACTTCTACTCCTTTGAATTAGTTGGAGACCACTCTGATCGATCAGGGGCGGGATCCGTCTAGGCTTCTATTCACATTGATCATCATTCTTGGTTTCTTTTATTTATATATATAGTTTAATAGCCTCTGTCTACCACTTTCCTTTGTATAATATACAAAGTTAAATAACAACAGTTATGCTAGCTTATTTTGTCAATTTTCTATTAATTAAATATGAATATTTGAGTTGAAATCGTATAAGCAACACGTGCATTAAAAATGGCTACGCCAAACGGCCCTATTTAATTATTTTTTCTTAGGGGTACAAACCCTGATTGATTTTTTGGCCTGTGGTTTTATCTTTTAAAATACATTCATTGTACACATTTCAAAACCCCATTATAGTATATAAGAATTATTGTGTTTTGCATTATTTTTAATTGTTCGTCGAGAAACATCTTAGTGTATTAAAATAATTTTCATTCATTTATTTAGAAAATGGTATACTTAGTCATAGTTTTTTAAGCAACAAGACCAAATGTTTTATAAAATAATTCACTAAAAAATTATTTTAATTAATTAAATAATGGTGCAAAAGTGCCTTTAAATTTTAATACCCATCTACATTTACTTGTATAACTTTTAGTTTTGTTTTAGGATAAAGGGAGAGTGCAAACAATAATAGAATTAGAAGCTTTTTCTTTAAACTGCATGGCGAATTGACAGCAGATAGAATTGTCTTGGTTAATTATATGGAGCCAACCTTCTATCAATGGTGGCCCCAACACATAGAACCAGCGTAATGGTACTACAATCACGTTACATCCTGGGTTTACCATCAGCCAAGACTTTCTTTGACAGTATGATCTACTTGACCACATTATGTAAATAGTAAATACTTAAAGCTTATTTCTATGAGAGAATCATGCATAAGCATAAGCGCAACTTTGTGTTTAAATTTCTTATCTTTTAAGCGGAATAGTGTTTGAGCCGAAAAGGGTACAAATACAACATGTGCTTATAAGATATAACCTTAGATTAGCACAGAATCGTCAGACAGGACAGTATAAAAATTAAGGCATCAACTTAGGTTATTTTTGCTATAGTGCATTGATCCTTCTTGATATTGTAGAGCCACCATGCCCACTTTTTCTAGCATGTCCGTGCTGAACCAGTGACGAATGACGAGACCGTCATTTCACTGGAAGAAAATGGACCAAATATTGGGCTAGCAAAGTCACAGATAAATCAACAGTTCGCACAATCAAATCAAGAATATAGAAAGGAGATATATATTTTTCTATTTAAAGAGAGAGAGAGAAGAGAGAGAGAGAGAGAGAGAGATGTGTTATATCATATGACCCTCCATGTGTCATTGCCTGCTAGTTTTTGGTAACACAAGAAAAGACGGTTGTTTGAGTAAAATAAAAGTAGCTTTTTGACATAAAAATGGAGTGAGTGGTGCAAAGAATTACACGATAGAAATTAAAACGGTGAGTGATGACCAAGTGTTTCTGGCCTTGAATTGCAGGAGCGCTGTGAATGATTATATAGAAGCAACTAAAGAACTAGCATGTGAGATTCTTGATCTAGTAGAGGAGGGTTTGTGGGTCCAAGACAAATTCTCACTGAGCAAGCTCATCAAAGACGTCCATAGTGACTCACTCCTGAGGATCAATCACTACCCTCCCGTGAGCCTAAAGGGCCACAACAAGAATTGGGACCCGTCCAAACTAGAGCCACATCAACTCCAGAGCGATAAAAGTAATAATAACATTGGCTTTGGGGAGCATTCTGACCCTCAGATCTTGACCATCTTGCGGTCCAACAACGTGGGGGGCCTTCAAATTTCCACTCACGACGGGTTGTGGATCCCTGTCCCCCCTGACCCCAATCAATTCTTCGTCATGGTTGGCGATGCCCTCCAGGTTGGTCTCTAATCAACTCAATATCACTATCACTATCACAAACACCATTTTCAATCAACCAATTATCATAAATCACCTTCACCTTTCTTTCAATTCCATCTAAATTTTGTATTTATCGTTAAATATCTACACACTATATTTAAATATAGCCTAATCCATTCCCCACAATGAATCAAGAGATTGGATAACACTCTCACTATTTCATTTTAAATGCATTCAATCTAATAACAATATTAACAGATTAATTATTTATATGTTTGTATACTTTTTGAAGGTTATGACAAATGGAAGGTTTGTGAGCGTGAGACACCGAGCATTGACCAACACAACCAAGGCCAGAATGTCAATGATGTACTTTGCAGCACCACCGCTGAATTGGTGGATCACTCCAATGCCAAAGATGGTGACACCCCACAATCCAAGTCTTTATAAGCCCTTCACGTGGGCCCAATACAAGCAAGCAGCATACTCTCTAAGATTGGGAGACTCTCGTCTTGATCTCTTCAAGATCCAACGACAACAAGATAGTCATCTCGCACCTACTTCTCCCTGACACTTAAGATCACATTAGTTGTTGATATTCTTGCACCACCTAATTAATTAGGAAGTAGATAGCAGGACTTGGAGCTTCATAGCCCCTTATTTACCTTCAAATTTTGTTCTCGTGTTATAGCCTTTATAGTTTCATAGAGTTTTAAACCATTAGGATTTTCTTAGTCCTTTATATTGGAGAAAAATATTCCACCTAGTTGGTACTGTTGTAAAATATAGGCAACCTTTGGAGTCCCTTAGAAGGGGATTTTGACATATAACGAATGATGATATATGAATTCAGCAGCACCATCGTTTATTTATTTGTTTGTTCTTCTGTGCTTCAAGTAAAATTGTAAGCCCAAAACCATCATGGTTTAGAGCCATCGGATCTAAAATCAAGGCATAAAGTTGTTAAAATAACTTCTATTTGTATTTATTAGCCCAAAGTTTGACAATGTTGTACAGATAAAATATACATATATGCACAATAGGAATAAAATTTTTCCATTTTTTTTCTTGAAGATTAATGAAAATTAAGAAATTATAATATAACCACTTTTCTCAAGCACACATTTTCTTTTTAATGAAAGTAACGGAAACTTCATGAAGAGTTAAAACGATTCAAAAAATAATTTTTTATAAAGAATTTAATAGCTTAACTCATAATAATTTAATATAACTATAAACATGCTATTTAAGTATAATTTATATTAGATATTTAATATATAATAATCACAAAAAAAAATTTTAAAATCTATCAACACATCGTCTAATTAAAAATTTTAATAAATGAATGAAACTATGAAATATTAATTATAAAAAAGGAGTTTTTATAATTTCTTTTGACATAAGTTTACACAAAAAATTTAATACTCCAACGATAGATAAAGTGACTTCCCTAAACCGAGGTTGGAGTTGTTTTATGCATTGATCATACTTTCGTCTCTTTTTTTTAATGATCTTTTATATGAAAAATTATTAGGTGGTTCAAGTCTTCATCATTAATATTGTGTCATATAAATAAATTTTATTACTATAAGAAAAAAATAAATGTGTCACAATGCAAGTGGTTGGGACCATATGATCCCATATCATAATTTTTTTATAGACATATTTAGATGTATTTGATTTTAAATTTACCACTATGATAAGCAAAAAAAAATATAAGTGTTGCCACGTTAATTATAAATTTTTCAATATTTGAAATTTAAATGCTCATTATTAATAACCTTTTGTGCTTATTGGCAAATTTAACTTGTATGATGAATATATTTGACTTTATTTGAAAAAAATCGATCCAAAGATATTTAGTTGCTGTCTGAATGAACATTAAAAAAATTAGTAAACATTGATCTAAATGTAGATGCATAACCAGTCAGACATGAGACACGAAACTATTATTGGCAATTGTAGCGATAATGCCCAGACAACAACCTTTAAGATTTTCGACTCTTTTCCTTAATTGACATTACTTGATCGCATAGTGAGGGTACAACATGCTTATTAAAAATTTTAATTATTAACAGAGGTTTGATCACTCGATTTGCGTTACAAATCTAGGAATATTTTTTGTTGAGTCGGCTATAACATGCTACCATGTTTCGTTTTTCGTTTAAAATTTAAAATTACAAAAGTCAGTCCCTCACCCAACCGGAGCCTGCTTTTTTGGTCTTTGAAAATTGTCAAGAACTATTTAACATATTTTATTTAATATATTTATAATTATTAATTAAAATTTATTGAATACTATAAAAACATGAGAAAGAATATTTAACTTGGGAATGAAAAATATAATAAAATTTACATAAAATTTATAATTTTTAATAAAATTTAACAATAGCTAAAATGGTGTTAAAAATAATATTCTTCAATTAATTCTCTTCTGATCTTTGTTGAAACTGACAGAACAGAAAGCCAAATAGATGTTGAAAGTCAGCTTAATTTTGACCAAGTAAAAATTAAGCAAAATTTTAAATCCTCCTTTCTTCTATATTTACAAACTTTCTTAGTTATTAATTACATAAAGTATTTATTAATTATTTTTTATATTTTCAACAGAAGAAATATATAAAAACTTTATTTAATATTTATTTTATGAAATAATTATAAAGAAAATATATAACAAATCGGTCAAAAATTAAATCTGTTATGTCTACGACACAAGTTGTTATAATAAGACGGGATGAAACTTCTGAGTTTGAAGGTAAATGCATACTCTTTTCAAAAACTATTAATTATTTATTATAATAAAATTATTTTTCTTTCTAAAGGTATATTTATCAACAGAATTAGAGAGTATTTATAAGTGATCAGATACTAAGGTTTAAATTTGACCGTCCAAAAGAGGTCAAAAAAGAATTTGTCATCGAGATATGAAATGATCGAACTGCAATATTGCATGTAAAACTTGGAACTTTGGGCAACAGAGTATTTGATAAATCGAATTTTGAAGTAGGGATATAAAATATGCTTGAATTTTGGAGGAATTTTACCGTTCTTCGGTTCTACAAGGAAGCAGGACCAGAATTTAAAATTACGGATCACTACGCCTATACTGCTGCCATGTAGCAGCTGCAACGGGTCCTGTCACAACATACATATTGTAAGTAGCATTTGTTCTGTGTTCATTTTTTGTTTTGTTGTGGAATCAGTGGAATCAAATTTGAAAATCAACGTACATGCAAGCATCCAGTACAGCATGCGGGGCTGAATGTTACCAAATCATAGATTCAAAAGTTTTTTATGCAGAAGCTCAAATATAAATGTGCTGGTTTTTTAATTACATTGCCCAGGAATGTACGTAATTAACCAAAAAATAAAAGCTAGAGAAACTGAAAAATCATCTAACAGCAATAGGTAAACACTAGCAGACCCTGAGAATAATGGTCAATCCAAAGAGACTAGGCATTAGACTCGACTGATTTATGTTGTTATATATCAATGTGGGATTTTTTGTTATATAAGACGTCACTTTAAAGCCCAATCCACGTGCCAAAGCTTCAGCTATCTCATGTGGAACTGGGTTCTTCAGTAGATGACAAGCAGAGAGGACAGTGACACAGTTATGAATGTGATGAAGGACAATTACACGAAGACCAGGTGTACCGTTTTCCTTGCATCCTGCATCGACATTGACTTTAACATGGTTTATTGGCGGGGGGGCCAATTCGTTAATACAGCTTCTCTATTCCGTCTGTGAAGTGGGACTGTTTATTTGCCATAATAAAGTTCTGCAGCGTACTTGTGGCCACATGAAAAATCTGGACCGGAGCGAAAGGTTTTTCCTGAAATATAGGATCATTTCTGTCTTGGTGCGAGTTATGTCATTGTTATTGTTATTTTTTCAGATAACTTACTTCGGTTTTGAGCTGCTTTTAGTTGGTCTTTGCATCTTGGTACTGCGTCTAGCTTGGATACCAAATTCCTGTTTCCTATCATGTTACACTTTGGCCACCCTTCCTATAATTATGTGGCACTTTGAGTTATTTGCTATGAAGCATAAATGCTTCTAACTATATAGTAGCTTGGTTGTACCTTGAACGTGTCACATGTTTATCCATGTCAACTGTCATAGAGTACTTGCATACTTTTTAACTGTACTTTTGTTATACTTTTTATATTTTAATTTCCAACTTTTATAATAATACATTTTGAAACAGCATAATGATTTAATAATCTTTAGTATTTTATTATATTTATATTTATTACAACTCAGACTCACTTTCAAATCATAATTTTTTTTTATACTTTATTGTTTTCATTTTACATTAATTTTCGATCACTTTTATATGTTATATCATATATACTCATATTTATCTAATATTATTTGAAACAGAAATATTGGTTGAACCACCAGAATAGACACCGTATAAATATCGCAGTGTCTTTATTTTTGTAGCTTTTGATGTGATACACATATATATAGACAAGTACAATCATGATTCATAAATATTTAAGTATAGTCTACCACTCATTTAATATTTTTTACTGTTTTCCTTTTTCTATTGCATTATACACCTTTCACATTTATAATTTCTTTTACTGATCATTAAATCTGAAGTTTCTCTTTTATTTTTTTCTGTACTAGGTATAGTTTCCTTCAAAGATGCCCACAGAATATTTTCCAACAATATAACTCTACGGCAAAAATTATATACCTTTGTTCAACCTTTTCTGAGTGTAGTTTCACCCTTATGGTGCTACGTACTATTACACCCCCCCCCCCCCCACACACACACAGACACACACAAATCTAACGGGAAAGATTATGTATATATAAAATATTCAATTTGAGATAGTTATCATGTAACCAGGCCTTGCTGATCCATTGACAACTACAAGATTTGACTAGGAATACAATTTACTTAGGAAAATTACAGTTTACCAACATTTTAGCCTCAGGGTCGTGACTCAAGTTTGTAAAATAGTTTTAGTGTCATTGTTATGTGATTACTTGCCATTGGTTGTAGAGTTAAATTCAAGATGATGCAAAACACTTTCAACAACGAATCGCAATTAGACATCAATTGTAAATAAAAAATAATAATGATATCAACAAAATCTAATTCAGTAAAGAAAATCCAGATAATGAAATTAAGTTCTGGAAAGTGTTTATTGTCATTCCTTATTTTAGAATTTTTTTATTAAAATATTATCGTTATCAATTTAATTAACTAATAAGAAAATTTATATAACAAATGTTTAAAGAGTGAGAATAAACTCACTCAGTTTTTCTCGTCTAATTCGGTCTTGCCAACTAATTTGAGAAAGAATTAAGTCACACTGTTGTTCCATCAACCATTGTGCGTGGTTCTTTAATTTTTGAGTTAACCAAAATGGTGGGTGTAGCTAGACACTGACCTGAAAGAAGGTTTTCTCTATACTTTCTTGGGTAGAGGTCAGTTCCCCAATTGCATTGTTGGTGGACAGTAATCTTCTCATGCACGTGTCCATATGGTTGTTGACGTATTTTGGTGGTATTTCAGTATGGTTAAGCAAGAAGCTCGCCCACACTTTACGATTTATTTCTTATGAGGCAGTTCAACGCTCTACACATGCATGAAAAGGCTTAGATGGCCAACTCCTAACAAAACATAGAGGGCAAGCATTGCATGAACACAGTTCTGCCCGTTTGGTTTGAGTGTTGGAGAAGAGTTTGATATAATTAAATTTTAAAAAATATATATTTAAATGTGACATTTAAATTTTTAACTGTACAACAAATTGCACCAAACATTCCAATCATTTCTTTAGGCAAACTCACATACTGCTTTTGAGTTTTCCATTTTTATATGTACCTATCACGCATCAACTCACAATTTTATATGAATTTTTGGTTTGGGGCAAATCCATAATTACTTTTTACATTAATAGTCATGATTTGGCAAGAAAATGGAGGAACTGTTGAAGACTAATATACTTAACGTGATATCATGATTGTATAATTTCATCAGCAATCGAGATTCTGCATAAAAAAGCTTCCCTTGAAATTTTATTATTAAAAACATATATAAGGGTGAAGCGCAGAGCTTAATATATATCTGATATTTCTCATATATTTCTAGCAAAACCTTGAAACAATTTATGTCCCATCTCGACTAATGGCTTCAATTTTGCTATTATTAGAAGCGTTAATAAGATGCTATCATCATGAACTTTTGCCACGGAGTCCGAGGAGGAAAGAAAAGGAGGCAAAAGACTTGACACCCATCATTAAGGCGAAGAAACAAAGGAAATCATCCACCGGTTTGGACAACCTTGATTGCTTCTGGAGTTTCATCAATGATCACAAGGAGGAGACCAAACCCTGGAAATTAGCTGAGTGTTGCATATGGCCTTAAAATTCTGTTCTCCATCTTATCCTACGTGCATCATGTTGTCAATCAATATCTCAATCTTGAAGATAAAATTTCATGCTTTTGTTCTGTACTTCGATAGGTATAAAGCAGTTAGCATCGCGCACGCGTGGTGTGTATTGTGCTCCCACAGGTCTTTTTACCATCATAACAATATCAAATAATATAGTCCTTAAATCTTTTTCTCATTTAAGCAATGCATGAACGCAAGAATACTGTCGTCTATGATAGGGGAACCAGATAGAAAATCATGAAGTTGGAGTCGGTTAATTAGCAGTGTATAAGTTAATAATATGTTGTCGGTGTGACATGCATGCATGTATGTATTAGTCTTATTTTTAATTAGTTAAATCAGAGCAATGGAAACGATTGTTTGTATTACATATTGAATTTATTACATAATTTCCATGTCTCAATCTGCTTTCATTTTCATCATTTTATTAGCTTGGTTAGGCTTAGGGGCTAACGAGCCAAGTGTCCCCTTCAATGAATTGAAACCCAATAAAAGGTTTGGCCTCTTCGTCCGAAAGCACTCGTGCCCATGGAACTCTTCCAGTGAAGTTAGCTCCTGGCCCAGTGCACTTATATTCTCCATAAAATACTCTCCTGCAACAAGCCCAAACAAACACACATTTAGCCTTTCATTGCGTAATCTGTGTAAAGACAAAGGTAGATTCCAAGTGTGTTGTATTGAACTAACAAGTCACGCTTTTGGTCGCCCCAATCACTCCATCCTTTGGGGAGAACTATCTTGTCCATGTAAGTGTAAGAAAAAACAACTCTGGAATAATCTCCCCATGCTCTTCCAAGATAAACCTGCCCACTACCTGTTACTGTGCAGTTTTTGAACGAGAATCCACTCTCCAATGACGAATTTGTTCGCTTTTGAGCAGTGATGGAAGCCACCTTCTTGGTTGTCGAATTTAGGTAGCAATTCTGCTTCCCCATTCAATAAAAAACATAGCCATTGGTTGATTATGCCACAAGCAATCATGGTAGCAACAAAAGAGTCAAATTATCATTATTAAGCCCATGGACCAGGTGAAGTCCATCTGCAGCCATAATGGTACACTGGGCTGAACCATGATCAAAATGGAGACCAAAAAAAAAGGGAAATGAAAGACCTCGTAAAGGGATCTTCCGGAACCGAAGATGAAATCAACAGAGCCTTGAATAGAACAGTTGTTGAAGTAATGAAAGCCTTTGTGATCGTAGAGAGTGTCTTGGGCCCCATAGAAAGTGCAATTGTAAAAAGCAGCTTTGGTTCCAGAGACGCGAAGCGCTACGCCTTGTTCCCCCTTCGATCCAATCACATGCGGAGCAGTGTTCTATTTTTTTTTAACACACAATTTAACAATTTTCCATCCTCCACCAAGAAAATAAACTTGCATAAAATTATCTTTTGTTTCATTGTATATAAAAGAATCATTATTTTTTATGAGCGAATGTTTACAAAATTTACTCACCTCGACTAGGTTTTTACTTTTATTAATCAAATGAGTCTATATATATCTAGATAATTATTGCCAAAATATACGCTCATATATGAGTTTAGGCTTTAACATGTCCCTCCTCTCACCCACGCAGACACACATTTATAATTTTATATTCGCTATATTTTGTTATTGTAGATACTTTTAATTAATTAATTTTTGTTTTATTAATTTAATATTAAATTAATATTTTCCATGGCATTTAAAATTTAGTTTAACTAAATTACAAATAATGAGTCCGGATAATATATAGGTATGCACTGTATCTAGTTCAAATGCTCTAGGATCCTACCATTTTCATCCATCTTTCTTTTAATTTTGTTTTAATACGTGCATAGTCATAAGAGATAATAAGCTTTTGCCACAGTGGTGGTTCTTGTGAGCTTTACTCAATGAAAATTGAAGTACCATTTTAGCGTTGATTAAGGAAGTTTGTGTACCTCAAATTTTATGTTGATGGCCATAAAATAGCTTGCATCCACCGCCACAGTTGCACTATGGAACGTCCCTAACGGAGTCCCATCACTTCCGGTGACAGACGCTGTATCATTTCCAGTAATGGTTGGTGGATCCCTGGCGTCCCCTAACAATGTAATAAAAGGCAATGTTCTGGGGATCATGACCTTCTCCCTATAGAAATTAAACACACCATGTTTTGTGATCTCCATCTTTGACAATTTCAACTCAACATGACTTAGTCTATTTTATTTTTCTTAATAAGAAAACACAACTAATTTATTAAAATGAATAAAACGTAATTATATATCATAAATTCGTAGTGTATTCTGAAAACATTTATGATAATAAATGATTAAATTGATATATATATCACGCGTACATTACCTATATATACCAGACGCGATGGACATTATGACTCTCCTAGGGTTACGAGGTGGAATGCTATTAAGAGCTTCTGTAATGGTCTTGAAGTCACCAGCACCGTCTTGGCTAACTGTTATTCTAACTTTGTTACTCTCAGCCTGCCTCAGCTTCAAATCATGACCAGGTGCAGTGACATTCCATTTGGTTTCCAAAATGGTTTTTTTCTTAAAATTTTTTACGTTCCAAGATACCCACTTATCAAAATCGGCCTGTGTATCTGAGGTGCTGCTAATGTATAAAGTTGAAAGAAGAAAGACAGTGACTTGGAAATGCGTTGTGGAAACCATGGTAATGCTAGTGTTACCATGCACTAGATGATAATTTAAAATATCAACAAGTGCATGATCAAAGCCGAAATGGAGAGACCATATAAATAATATAAATTATGTAGGCATACATAAAAAAGAAATATTTCTTTTAGCTATTTACTAAACTAACCCTCATCAACGCCTTTTCTAGAACAAAATCAGAGAACTTGGTGGCTGGTATGGAAGGAGTCTGGGACCCCAATCCCAAAATTATCATCACTGTGACACTGTGTAATGCGCATTGTCTTGAAACCAATAATCCCTTGGGAATGAATGATGGCGCAAGAGGAAGAAAATTAACCAAGTTCATAGCTGTATTCCATTTTCCAATGGTATAGTGGTGGCCAGAGCTGTTAAATAAATGTAGCACACATGCACATAATATGTATAAGCAACAAGTATTGACGTGGGGTAGGAGTAGGACTTTAATAAAATAAAAATAAAAGGATTTTATTGCATCAGGCTTATCAAAGCATGTTGGTCATACAATAAGTTTGTCACTTGTAGAAGGTTTTATTTGGTTCCAAAATACTTAAAGCATATAGGTGTTAAAAGAATAACGCAATTGATTATGTTTGAATGAAACTGAAAGACTTATTGGAATGGAATAAAATAGGAGTAAACTGGAAAACCAATTCTTTTGTTGCTTGAGTAACGGACTTATGAGAAGGATATACAGCATGTTTAAAACCTTTGTGAACTTATAAGTAATTACTGTACATCCCTAAACCCTATGTTGGATTTTTTAAAATAAAAAATATTTTTCTTAACATCCCAATTAGAAAAGGTACTAAAAGTTAATGTTTGAAAAGAAATTGTTTCCTCAGTTCCTTATTTCCCCTTTATATAAATATTTTAAACTCTCAAACTTAAAAAAAATAATAAAAAATTCCATGACCTCTCCAAAAAATATTTCTCTCATTATCGTTTTGAAGCCACAATGTAGAAGCGTGAATATTAATGTTCAAATTAAATTATGAGGCCTCATGCCACATATGCCTCTAGTAGAATTTGATTAAAAGATTTAATATATTTATATACGTTCTCATCTTACCTTTATAAATATGGGGTTATAAAACATAAAATGCTTGAGAATTTATCATCTATACATTTTAAAGCACCAACTTCTATTATCTTTCTTTCTGAATAACTATAATTATTATTTTAATCATAAGAAGTAAAAATTAATATTACGCTACATCTATTCTACCCTAAAAATATATTCCTTCATAAGATTTTTGATATATATATTTTTTACAATCTCATTTGAACTCGATGACAAGAGTCAATACCTACACTCGTTTAGAGACATTGGATGTAGAAATTTTCAAGATCTAAAATTCAAACCTATTAAAGCCCAAGGTGATCAGGGCTACTATTAAAGCCCTACTAAGTGTCAGCCCACAGCCCAATTTTGGACCGCCCTCCTTATCCTTTTAATAATAATAATATATTATGCAAGTCATTGTTGAAGAAGAAAAAGAAAACTAGAAAGATTGTTTCAATTAATCATGAAAAATTATTTTAATAATTGGTTTTATATATAATTCTATTTTTATGAAAAATACAATTTGACTTAAAAAATATCGTGTACACTAGCATCTAAGTTTGCTCTTTTCACGCTTGTTTAATCGAAAAATAATAATAATTGTAAGCTAAATCTACGTTTCGGTGTATTATTTGAAAAGTAAATTTAAAATAATGCATTTTATTTGGATTAAGCAAAAAAAATTGCTTTTATGTAATAAATTACTAAAAAGCTTGATAAAGTTCTCAAATTCTGATTTTAACGACATACTAAAGGTTTTTACAATAATTAATTTTCAGTGTGAATAAATGGTGTTGTCCCTAGAAACCCAGATTCTCATATATCAATTTCAGCAATTTTTTATTCCAGAAATTGTCATATATTCAACCAAAATGTTAAATCCTCCTTACGAAGAAGTCATAGGCAATGACATCTGATTGCCGAGGCTTTCCGACAATGTAATTATATCTCCCACTCTCAATAGTTAAATTGAAAATGATTGACGTATTTTCTATAGTCCAAATGCCAAGTCTTGTTTTCCCAATTTGCTACCCATTCACAGTCCAAGTAAACGGCAGCATAACGTAAATGATCAACAGTTATATGTGTCTTCTTTGTTTTTTTTTTTATTCCCCAATTTTTATCAAATATCACTATGTCGATCAGTAACAAACGAGGTTACATAAAGAATGTGGAATCAAAGTAGTTTATTTAATGATTAACTGAAGAGTTAAAATGCAAAATCGTTTTTAATAGAGAATGCTTTTTCTAATTTTTCTCTTTTTTTTTCAGTTTTATTTTTTAATCTTTAATTAAAGTACATATGAATAATCTGAACCATAAAAGTTAATAAATTTAACATATAATTATGATCTTATATATAGTTACGAGCTAATATCTGTATATCATATTAAATTTAAAAGCGAAAGAAAAGAAAAACAATGATATTTGAATATGGGATATGAGGTAAGCTGTGACCATATACGCGACAACCAAAGAGGCAAAGAAAAATGAAACAAAAAAGTAGTTGACCGTGTGAACGAACCTAGACTCGAATAACATATGAAGAATGAAAAGGTGGTGGTTTCAAAGGTTGCGGCACTTAGTGCTTCCAATGAGAAACCCATTGAAATTAAACCAATATATTACTATTATTTTGCTCCTTACTGATTCAGTGATCCCAGTCTTCGTACGTAAGTTATTACTTAATGTCAAACTTCCATCACGTTTTTTATTCCCATCTGTTTCTAGAGGATTATAACGCCAAATACAACACCCAATTCTTAACAGTGTTAAAGTCAATTCATATTCCCATATTCACACACGTCCTAGCTGCATGTAGCTTGGTACTTTCAATTTCTTTATTAGATTTTCTTCTTTCCCGTAAAAGCAAACCCAATTCATTCATTCATTAATTGTACTAAGAGAAATGTACTATACAATTACGCAAGTTCATATATGATTAGGACAACAACAAACAATCAATCATCAGTTAAATAAATGCCATTCAGTAGTTTAACAATGTCAAGTAATTAAACTATGATGTCTTTGAACTTGTCAAATATAATGCCTAGTTTAAATTGTAAAACTAGATCATAAATCATCAGCAAGATGCTGCTGCAAGAACCATATGTTTTCATCCGTCCACAACAAGTCTGCATCACCAAAACCATTGCCGGGTTCAAATGCTTGCATGTCAATGTGAGGGGTTGACATGAAGCCCTTTTCTACACTATCTGATGACCAGCTACTACCACCCATTAAATTGTAAGATGTGCTTGTACTTGTATGAGAGAGAGAGGGAGGTTGAACATCAACCCCTGATGAGTACGATGAAACCATTGAAAACATTATGGGATTGACCCCACTTTGAGTTTGAGTGTTGCAAAGGGTGGTTTGATCAGGACCAGACCCACAAGAAGCTTGAATCCGCTCCACAAGACGTGGCATCCAAACAAAACGCACAGCGTCCCTGAACTGTTTGCTGTTTACATCACATTTGAGTTGCCTTGCTTGCTTCACCACTCTCGTCCTCCAATAGTTCTTGATCTCATTGTCTGTTCTCCCAGGTAATTGTTCTGCTATTTTAGACCACCTTCAATAAATAACATAACATACATTAAATTTAATCATATACTTATTTAATTGCAAAACTCTAATAATGCTACAATAATACTACGTACAATAATAATATAAATATACATACCGATTGCCCCAGCGAGAATGGAGATCAAGAATTAAGAGTTGTTCTTGAAGAGTGATGTTCCCACGTCGAACATTTGGACGCAAGTAGTTCAACCATCTTAGTCGACAACTTTTACCAGTTCGCTTTAGACCTGAAGTTCAAAACACGAAACACATAATTTAGTTTGGACTTTGGTCCCATTGTTAATTAATTAGTACATATATAGATATAGACATGAAAGCTTATTACCTGCAGAGCGAGCGAGGGAGTTCCAATGACCTTCGCCGTGGACGTTGACGAAATTGCTAAGAACAGAATCCTCTTCCTCTGTCCATGGACCTTTCTTTATTACAATTTCTTCTTCACTTCCATATGTTGCTGATGAATCATAATAATCCAATACACTTCTCATAACCTGAACACGCCTTGTCTCCATATTACACTCAAGTATATGAATCAGCTTGGTGAAAAATATCTTAGATCTTTCCGTTAAACATGTGATAGAGAAGGTGATTATATAGGGAGAGATAAGCTAAAGATATGACATTGGATTTAGGAGGATCAGCACTTTGAGGATTGAATATTTGTCAAAACTAAAAGATAAAGTGGGGGGCTGCGAAGATTGCCCAATAGTTGCAGTCTTGCAGAACACTGAATTGATAATTTAATTGAAGGACACATTAATTTAATTTTTCCTCAAGTTTTCGTGTCTTTTATTTTGACCTTGCCATTTAGAGTTGACCCTTTGACTTTTGACACGCATATAGAGCAAGTTTGCAAAATAATAATTATACTTTTTCATGTTTGTCAAAGGTTTTAACCTTCGGTCAGCGTTGCGATTCCAAAATCAAAATGGTTTTAGTTATCTGACTGTGTTTCAGGGTAAACTACCTCCCTTAGTTGCTATTGAAGTCAAATGAACTAATATGTAAAGAATAAAATAACTTTTATTCTTTATACAAGTTTGCTGCAATGTAACTAACTTAATTCCATATTATAATAAGAGCACAAAGAAAAACAGGAATTAGTAAATAGAGTATGAGTTTTATTTTGATGTTACGGTTAGGTGTGATTAAAATAAATTAATCTATAAAGGAACTTTTGCAATTTGCGTACATGAAATAAAATTCAAATCGATGTAATTAATAAAGAATTAAAAAGCTTAATTTTGTTTATATATTAATTATATGTACTATAAATATGTATTTATGAAGATAATATTCGATATTAAATTTTCTACTTCATAATGATCATGAAAAGCTGTGGCACATTAGATATGTTATATCTACACACACGTGATTAATGTTAATGAAAATAAGTTAATTGATTTTAAAATTCGTCGATGCTACTAATCCAAAAACCTAGGTCAATTATCCAAAATAACGATTGATCTATCTTTATTAACATTTCTTATGATCAATTGGTCGATCAAGAAATAAATAGACCAATTATCGTGATGAAAAAAAAAAGTATATATTTGTTTAAGAGAGGCGAGAGATATTTCTTTTTCGTGATTTAAGATATCTTGTCCTTCATCTTTTAAAACAGGTGATTTTCTGATTGCTTATCATATAGATAAAGGATATATGTTCGATTAAGTTTTTTTAAACAATTTTGAATTATAAATGGATTATCATAATGTAGTGCACTAATCATGACTTCAATCCATGTCTTATAGTAATGATGTTCTTTTTTCATCAAAATTGATTGAGTTCAATACAAATAAGCACTAAGTGATCTATTTGGATGAAAGTTCAAGTAAAATAGAGAAAACAGAAATTTGAAATTAAAAGGGTAAAATATTTAATTTTTAGATAAGTTAAAATAGTAAAAAATAAGAAAACCATAATTCTTTAAATCAATAAAAAATAAAAATAAATAACTAAATTATATTTAAAATAATTATAAAAATTTTAAACTATTTTAAAAATATTATTATAATATTTTTATAAAAATATGTTTATTTTCTATATTATACAAATATTTTTAATAAAATAAAGATACAATTAATAAAAATAAAACCCTACCATCCCTTCCCCCCGCCCTCACTCTCCCTTCTCTTTTCTCCCCATTTGATGCCTTTTTTGTTTTTGGTGGAATTTACCTTTCAAAACTTCTCTCCCTTCTTCCTTTTTCTCATCCAAATATATTTCATCCATTTTCCCCCCTTCATTCTAACACAATGTTAGTTGTTACTCCATAAAATATGTAGATGGATTGAAGAATTGGTTAATGCAGTCTTTATCCGAGAAAATGTCACAGTTACACTTAAGGATTAAAAAAATGCCCATGGTAAATGCTTGGTGAAGAATGAATTAGGAAAAATAATGTACTGAAGAGGATGGAGAAAGAAGTTACTGTTTATGAGATTTAGCAATTTCCACCCTTATGGCACAAAGTTTGGAAGGTAAATATCCCATGACTTTAGTCTTTCCTTGGAACTTTGTTGTAGTAAAATGCCTAGTGCCTACTAAACACGATTGTTGTGAATAGAATTATTAAGATTAATGATAGTAGGGGAGGGGAAGGTTATCTATGTAATGAGTTGGAAGAAAGGTAACACACAAGGCATTGCTTATGCTTATTTTTGCAGGAGGAGGAGGTGTTTATTGCAACCGAAGAAGGCCTTTTATTTGTTTGGGAGTTAGGCTTCAACCTTTTTTTTTATTCACAAAGGAAATATAATTAAAAGAAAAACCAAACAAAATAATAGTGAAAGTACTAAAATGACAAGACATCACATCATTGGCAAAAGGAAAACATGGGTCTTAGGTTCTTAGCTAGGGTATATTATTCTATCCAGACTTGGTCTTCCACTCTTCTAACAAGTGGGTCATCGGGTCATCTTTGCTAACGTAGGCCAGTTTACAACCTTCTCTCTTCGTGTGGGTAAACTTACGAGGCTTAATGATTAAAATAATATTTTTTTAAAAATTAATTATTGAATTAAAGTAAAAATAAAACATTTTTTATTTGAAGTAAATTTTTATCACATAGACAGTGATTTCTTATTAATTTCAGACAAAATCAAATTTTTTATTTTTAATTTAATAATTTTGCCTTAAATATAAATGAAATAAATTAAAATTTTGAATTAAATTTTTCCACCCATAACACGTGGCCCAATAAAGATATTTTGTTGCTGAGCTAGATGAAAAGTTGATTTCGTCTTACTTAGGGATGAAACATCCTATTGGGCCATGTGTTGGTAGAGCAATGGTAATTGCGCCTCCTTCTTCCCTTCTCTCCCTCCACGGTTACAATTGTATTTCCTCTATTTGTGCGAATTGGATAGTTTCTTTTTTTTTATCGTTTTAGCGTGATTTGTGAGTGAGTTTTGTCATCCATTGCAGAACCGTGTCCAGATCTACTTGGGTTGCAGGCAGTGAACGTGTTTTTGGACTAAAATTTTGAAGAGATTGAAAGAATGGTAACCTGCTACACAGTCGTTGTTAACAAATAAAATTAACCGTAGGAGGTTCCTGGAAAGACACCGCTGTTCCTCAGTTTGCCGTCAAAACCAAACAGGTTTTTTATTTTAAATATAATTATTTTGTATATTTTTTATAAATAGAGATATTTGTAATCTAATATTTTGATTAAAAATTTTAAAATTTTATATACAAAAAATTATTGATGAGAAAATTGTTATAGTAAAATTAATATTTAAAATTAAAATTTTATAACTAAATTTATTAAATTTTTAGCTTGTAGAAAAAATCTTTTAGTAAATTTTAATTAAAAATATAATCTACAAAATTTTGATAATTTTATAGAAATTAAAAAATAACCAAAATTTATAAAATTAAATATTGATAGTAATATTTAGATTAAAAATTAAGCTTTCATTTAGAATTATTATACTAATTTGAGGTATAAATTATAAAACAACTAAAAATTAATTTAAAAAAATTAAATACAATAATAAATAGTTAAAAAAATTCAGAATAGAAAATTAAAAAAAATTGTATCAAATTGTTTGATTAATTATATAAGAAATAATAATTAAAAAATAGTGTATAAAATTTATAACATAAATTTTGTGTTTGATATTAATTATCATTAAAATATGTAAATAGATATATTTATTTATGATTAAAGAACAGATTTAGATAATTAAAAAAAATTATGGTAAAAATTGAAAATATTAAAAGTTGTAATAAACTAATATATTTTTGGATGAAATTATAAAATCAATTGTACACATATAGAGAGATTTATTTAATTTTTTAAATTAACTAATAAAAATAATCAATTATAACATATTTAAAGTTAATTGCCGACAACATTAGATGTTGCAGAGAAACTAAAATTTACGTGAAAGACTAATTTATAAGTGTAAATCATCATTAAAAAATATTTATATTAAATTAATGAAAGGGAAGTAATTTAAATGTATAATTTATAAATAAATAAATAATATTTATATTAACTATATGATAATCCATCTTTTAAAAAGTTTTTTGGGAGAAAATTTTTCAAAGAAAAGGAAGGGAAGGGATTTTTTATTTAAAAATTAATAAAATTATATATTATGTAAAATAATAAATAAAAATAATATACTATATTTATATTAATTTATCATTTTATAGTTTAATTTTAAAAATATAATTAATATTGGTTAATTATGATAAAATAATAAATTTAGTTATCTAATTTAGATTATTGGAGTGATATTAATTAGTTTAGAATGAAAAAATTTATTTATATCCTATATTTATATAATTTTATTTATAGAGTGATACTAACAATATGAGATGAAATTATTTTAAATAAATAATCTCATTTTTAATGATAGTTTGAAAATTAGTTATCCAATACAAATTTTAAGAGAGATATAAATTAGTTGAGATAGATTATTTATAATTATATAATTTTTAATTATGCATGTTATGAAATTTTTTTGTATAATATATATTAAAATTTTAAATTTTGACCATGTTATATTTTATATTTTGTGTAGATGGCTTCATCTTCAGGATAGAATAGGGTCCTTCATCCTGAACAAGAGGATCCTTCATTATTGCGCTTACAGAATATTCACATGTCTGAACATATTTGGAATGGTCGGGATCATCCTATTTTAAAGGTAAGGAAGAGCCAATTTATTTCAACTGGTTTGGATGGTGTTTCAAAGGAAATCCTTCCACATTTAGAGCTTGCAGGATTTACTGGGATTGTTTACGTACGTCAGTTCCCATTAGACTTTCCGTTGATCACTGCATTAGTAGAGAGATGGAGGCCAGAGACACACATTTTCACTTACCTTCAGGCGAGTGTACGATCACTTTGCAAGATATATCTGTGTTGTTAGGTTTATGGATTGATGAAAGACCTGTGATAGCACCTATTGGAGGTAATTATGCTAATATTGTTGAGGAGAGCCTAGGGATTAGACCATCACTGATGCTTTTATTGGTAGCTTCTTGAAGACGA